ACTAGGTTCTTGCGGAATAAATATTTTTGGTGGAAAGGAGGGCAATTGAAGAACTACAACAACAACAAACTAACATTAATAACAGTCACAGGACATGATCTGCATCATAGTAAAATTCGAATGTCTTCACACCCTCGTTTGACACCCTTGCTGTGTAGCAACCACCACCATATAATTTCTTTATCATATATATGTGCTTTAAGAAAATTTTTAAGGCAGATTGTTAATAAAACCAAAAATAATCTGACACTCAAAGTCAAATTTTGTTTGACGCGTCCAATTGCAAGTATAGGTAAAAATAATGTCCAAATATTACATTATTATGAATATTTGTAGATTTTTTATCACTTAGGTATGTATGTCTTTTATAGTAAAATCATTTATTTTAAAAGTAATATAATAAATAAATAGATTTTAAAATTTTTCTTTACCTATATACATAAATAATGATTAGAATAATAAACAAGCAACAATGATGATTAAATCAAAAGGTGTTTTACCTCTGACTTTATTCATTGAATTATTATTTATCATAGTGATGTTATTAAATATAAAAGAGAAATTTATATACATAAATAATAATAAATATAACTATCGAATAATTGATAAAACGTTTATTTTTGTAAAACATGCTTCGCAAGCTTAATAGATTTTGTCCTTAATGCTTACTTCGATCACTTCTATACAGACTATTGAATAATTAATAAAATGTTCATTAGAACATTTTGTTCATAGATCCTGTCCTTAAAGCTTATTTCGATTACTCCTACACTACTATTGAATAATTGATAAAATGTTTGTTAGAATATTTTGTTCACAGATCTTATACAGACTATTGAATAATTAATAAACGTTTGTTAGTATATTTGTTCATAGATCTTGTCCTTAATGCTTACTTTGATCACTCCTATACAAACTATTGAATAATTAATAAAACGTTTTTTATTATATTTTGTTCATAGATCTTGTCCTTGATGCTTACTTCAATTACTCCTACACAAACTATTGAATAATTAATAAAATGTTTGTTATTATATTTTGTTCATAGATCTTGTCCTTAAAACTTACTTCGATCACTCCTACACAAACTATTGAATAATTAATAAAACATTCGTTATTATATTTTGTTCATAGATTTTGTCCTTAATGCCTACTTCGATCACCCCTACACAAACTATTGAATAATTGATAGAACGTTTGTTAGTATAGATCTTGTCCTTAACATTCACTTCGAACTTCTACACAAACCGGATCTTAATCTCTATTATCATCCTCAAAAAATGATGATTCATTATCATCGTTTGCTATTTATTGCTACTAATATTATTGTTTAATGTTGCTATAACAACTACTGATTGATGATATTCATAATAATCATTAATGAAACTTTGATCAATATAAAACAATCACTAATAAAATACCTTTTAGTTTTTGTTGATACTCCCCATAAAGTAATGACCATATGAAAGCTTAAAGTATTCTACACCTTCTCATTTACTATCAAGTCTTTTAAAGCAAT